TTCTCAATGCTTATATGTGGTTTTATGCGTCGGATATATTTATATCTTAAGAAATACAGGCCAATTACATCCGTTTAAGTATCTCATACTTGAAATGTAGAAATATATTTATCTTTATATGTAAAGGATCTCATGTTTGCTCATTCTATAAAAGACACTTGAAATAAAGGCAATGCATCTGTATTTTTTCTGAAACCAGATTATTACAAGGAAAAAGGTAAACAAGCATTTATATGGGGTTATCACAGGGATTAGGTTAGGAAGCGATTCGTTGAGCAATGCTAACATAAAATGATATTAAAATTACATGCGTGTAATACTTCAGATAAATGCTTTCTAGTAATTATACTTTTGTAATTCAATACAATGGAAAAAGTTAAAAGATGAAAAAAAAAAAAATGGAAATTGAAGGAATTGTAAAAATCTTCATGAAACCGTTCTCCAATCCACATCACTATTAAGGTTGATACAACCATTGTTCTTTTTATTCTCTGTGTTTACGCCTAGAAAAAAAGATTTTAGCGACCTATTTAAATAAATTGTTGGTATTTTTCTGGATGGCTTTATCTATCATGCATGAAATATAAAGATAACGAACAGTAATCAAGCTCAAAAGTCCATTGACACAATACAAAACGAGAGCAGACATGGACCTCTAAAAACATCAGAGGTGTGATCAGGTGTCATGGAGATGCCAAATATCATCTGACATCCTATTAGGCTGAAATGAAAAATAACCCTAAGGGTTGGAACAGTTCGAAATTAGGTATATTAACTGCACTTACATACCCTAAAACAAAACTATCGTTGTTATTTTATTATCAGTATCATTCAATATTTACATTTGCAAATGTTTTTTTTTATATAACACTACTGAAAGCAACGCGTATCTATATCCGTATAAACACAGGTTCCTCACGTCATAAATGTTCGACGTAATTCTCAGTGACGTCATAAAGGATTTGACGCGCAATCAATAGATCAAACTCGTGCCGTTGAGTTTGAAAAATAAAACATTTCACGCGTTAAAGATCATAATCAGGCAAATATAAGATATGAATGAGTCACAAATGTAAATATAAGTAATAATGTATCATTTTGAAACATCTATCGGGATATAAATACGGGTTGGTACGAGATCAAATTTACCATAAAGCCCTTCGGGCTTCATATAATTTGATCTCGTGACCAACCCGTATTCATATCCCGATAGATGTTTAAAAATGATACCTTATTTTTTAAATATCATCTTTATTTTCATAATTTCTAAAACTCAAGTGTCGAATGCAGGAGTAAAGGTTTCCAGGCCCCAAAACCATAAACTGAGAATAGACTTAAGTCAAAATTTTGATTCTTAATATCTTGAGTTTTATCTAATCTATTTTCTTAAAATTCAGCAATTTTATATAACATTTAAATTCAAATACATGATGAAAATTTTGTTTCATTATCAAAATTATTTCAAAAGTTATATAGGTTTGAAATTTTGACTTAAGTCTGTTCTCAGTTTATGGTCTTGGGGCCAGTTTGGGTTATATATAGATATTTCTGATGAGAAGTTACAATGCCTGCTATGGTTATTTTAATTAAAAGCTTCATAATTATGTAAATGAGTTAGATCAAAATACAATGCTATATACATAACTTATCGAAATATTTCTAATTTTTCTAGCATGCATATTATTTGGAAACTTTAAACCTATTTTGAATTGAAAAAAAAATCCATTTAAAAAAAAATGATATTCGTAACAAAGTGAATTGTGTATGCTTTAGCAATAAACTACTTATATAAGTCTGCATTATTTAAATCGTAACATACAATAAAGATATGATATGCTCAATGTTTAATATTATAAGAATTTACTGCACTTCACGGATTTTCAGTATAGTTTTCTTTAAATAGCTAAATTAAATGCAGATTATTATTTTTCAGCCTTTAAAGAAGACCTGTTTCCATAAGCAGGATGCTAAACACCGAACACGCATACTTTTTTAAATTATGCTTTGCCATTCGAATAAACCAATTCTTCTAATTTGAGTAGACAGCAATACTGAGTTAGAGTGTTTTGTATGTTTGGGGAAAGTTAATCTCTTCTATTAAAAAAAATAAAGCTTTTTAAGTTTCTACATCGTATAAGAAGACCCTTTTTCTCCAGTTTTTACAATCATACAAAGCACAAAAAGAATAATCAGAGAAGTCTTTCAATAATGATTTAGTCTTTGACTGGTAATTAAGCAAGGATTGACAGAAAGACTAAGTTTCCCTGAGATTGAAACAATAAGCTTAAAACTTAAACTTTAACTATTGGACTTTCACTATTCTTTTCATGCAATTGTCTTGCATAAGAGACCAAAGAAATACATCATTTAGGTAAATAAGACATTAATAAAATGTTACCAATTTCGTCATCAATTGTTCAATTAAATAAATAATACTAAAGTAACCGTTGATGTTTCCATTAAAATGCAAATCAAAACTATTCCTATGTAGAAATGAAGTGCTGGAAAAACCCTTTAGTGAGACAGAAGACAACGACACACACTTATCCATACATTATCATTCAAATTATTTCCTGATAAGCTATTAACGCTTCCTTTTTTATTTAGCCTACATAGGTTACAAACGTCTTCTACTAATATACTATTAATATTTAGACAGCAAGGAAGTTATTAAAAAAATATGTCGTCTATATTATTGTTGAGTTTTGTGAATGTGCTCTTTACAAGGAATATGTCATTTGTTCAAGGTAAAGGAGTTACACGAATTAATGCAAACAACTTTTAAAGTAAAATGTTCAGATGTAAAAATGATGTAAAGATTCTTATTGATATTGTTCATTTTCTTTAGGAAAACCAACGATAGATCTGGGTACAGGAATCACCATAGTGCAAGAGGAAGGTCTATCTGTAAGAGGAACAACAACTCAGTGTTACAATTCATTGCCCTCATTTACCTGGGATTTTATGGTAATAATTTAAAAGAATAAGCATAGTTTAAGATTTAAACATATCTGACATAAATTGTTCTGACACACTAAGCCCATCATGCTACCCTTAACGTTTAAATTTATTTTCAAAAGAATTTAATATGCACAAATGTTATAGCCCGCCATATTGTGTTTTCTTAAAGTTCATATTAATTTGTTTAAAAAAAGATTCATTTTTCAAACAGGTTCTTAGGGTTCTGAAATTAATTGTTGCACCTCTTATAGCAAAATAATTTCTTGTTTAATAGTATGAAGTATTGAAGTTAGAAAGATATCGACAGAAGTATTTTTACAATGCAACTGCCTTATGAAAAGTTTTGGTTGAACTTCATAAAAAAATTGAAAAATATCAGACAGTGAAAATCAGTGGAGACTAAATCAATTTAATAATATGATATAGCAAAAAATGATGCATGTTACACGTGAAGATACTGATCATGTTTATCTGGTTTGCTTGTTTTGTATATCTACTGTTTTGGATAAAAATATAAGAATATGAAGTTCCATATTTTAGTGTATTCCTGCGTATTTCAAGTGAATAAACCTTTAATTTATTGTTTAAAAATACAAACATACGTAACAGAATAACAGAAGGGGCATAGCCTGAAATATACGAGAAAGTACTCAGAGCAACATAATGAATCAAGATCATATGTTTCTTTTGATATTGTATCATAAATCAAAAGATTTAATAAAATTAAAGAATGTGAATTTAGCAAACAAGTGCACTGTAAAGCAAACAAAAAGTGCCAAATGAAAGATGGGACTGGAAAAGAAAAGGTTGTATCTAATGTATCGTTTTTATTCTCCAGGTCATGGTCACACAGCTTTTATTTATAGTGTAACACTCGTAAAAACATTAAATTGGAGCGTGTAAATGTAAGGAATATGATCTCGATATATTGTTTCTAAAATTATATCAAAATCCTCGGTCTACCGACATTCCATTTCTTGGGAGTTCAAGCCATGGTAAGTTGGTCACTTAATGCCGAGATTCGGAGGCATATGGTTTTTGTCTTGTCCTTCCGTCTGTCTGTCTGTCCGTTTGTCCGCTAAAACTTTAACCATGCCTATAACTTTTGATTGGTTGGAGCTATCGCTTTCATATTTTACATGTTTATTCCTTATTGCAAGACCTTTCTTTGGGTACGATCATATTTGACCTTTTGACCTTGACCTTGGAGTTTGACTTACTTTTGAAAAACTTAAACCTTTGCCATAACTTTTGAAAAGTTGGTGCTAGGGCTTTCATACTTCACATGTGTATTTCTTCCGAGAAGACCTTTCTTTAGATATCAACAACGTTGATCCTTTGACCTTGACCATGGAGTTTGACCTACTTTTGAAAAATTTAACCTTGGCCATAATGTTTGAACAGTTGGTGTTAGGGCCTTTATACTTCAAATGTATATTCATTGTGACAAGGCCTTCCTTTGGTTACAAACAATTTTTGGCCATTGAACCTGACCTTGGAGTTTGACCTACTTTAAAAAATCTTTAACCTTGGCTTTAACATTTGAAGATTCGGTTCTATGGCTTTCATAGTTCACGAACATGTGTATCACTTGTGACAAGACCTTCAATTGGACACCATTTGACCTTGACGTTTTACTTACGTTTGAAAAACTTTAAACTATAACTTATGGTACCAACATTTTTTATCTCTTGACCAAGAGTTTGACTTGCATTTGAGAAACTTTAACCTTCGCAATAAGCTGCCATACGTTTACATCAGTATTTCACAAACACATTTTGTTTCTGTGCAAGCGCACAATAAGAAGGAAGGCGAGAAGCAATATTTTGTCTTGGGCCAAACAGTTTTTCTTTCCTTAAAAGTAGATTTGTTTTAGGTTCTGATAGCTGAAGTTTCACAAATTTCAAGAATTGAACAAAAAGAATGACTGCACTTAACACCAGAGTTTTGGGTCATTTTCGGCAAGAAAAAAAGTAACATATCTTTATATAGTTATTTAATTTTTAAGTAGAAAAAAAAAACAAGAAAAGTCTGCAGAAATGAAAGATATTGAGAACTGTGAAAAGGTTTAGCACGTTTGGAAACAGGTTGTCACGTCACCTAACGTTAAGCGATTGCTCAGTAAATCCTATGACCTCACAGTAAAAATCATCGTATATTTTCAAACTTTTAGTTAATGGACTTGATTTTTTACATACTAATAAACAAAAGATAAGAATTTAATCAGACATACGTCATTCTTCAAAATACACATTACATTTTCCTTAAATTAAAGTGTCCGCGAACTTTTCTAACAACACTCGTACGTACAACTACCATAAAATGGAGAACAATAGATTGATATACTATATGTTGTTTAACTTCCCATTCTGGAATTTTTCACTCATTTAGAGAGGTGAGAACAATTTTTATGTGTTTGTCAGTAAAACGTGGATGTCTTCATCATCGTATAGAGGTTCAAAAAATCGTATAGACATGAAAATAAAAATAAAAACGGATTCACTCTTCGTAAATACAAACTTTTGATTGTTACAATTACGTAAATTTGCAGTTTAGATACTCAACATTCTTGTAATTAAAAGAAGAAAACTCTTTTTGAAAGGTGATTTTGTCGCAAATTAATCAGTCATTCTTTGCTCCTTTGGACATACAAAACTCTATTTTATGTCAATTTTTTTTTGGGGGGGGGGGGGTTGACTGGGTCTTTTCAATTTGATAAAAAGTGCATAGTAAAATAAAGGCAAATACACCTTTTAAAGTTGTTGGAATACAGAATGTGAAATGTGAATATGAAATGTTCTTCCATTGACTGAAACACACATGAGACAGTGTAAAATATTTGGTATAAGAAAACATTCATCTTCAATATATACCTGTAGAGATATAGACTATGAAGAGTAAATATTTTTTAAGGATAGGTTTATCGAGAATTATTTCCTCATATCATAACATCAACTGCTTTTTGTGAACAGCAAACTTTAAAAGAATGCAACGAACTTTCAATGTCTAGTAGAAGGATGATTCTTTATTGTAGCTACATTTTTACTTCCTACATCGGTGTTGTGTCATAGAGAACAGCCATGTCGTATTATAAAGTCCTGGATTCGACCTGGACGAGGATAAAACTCTTAATCTCAAACAATTAGGGGAACTCAAGCAATATTATTGTAAATTCAAATATTTTTGAGCTATAAAGATCTTCATTATTTCTAACTTTATAAAGCTTAACTGCAAATTACAACTTTTAAACAACAAACGATTTAGATAGATAAATTGAGAATAAATAAATCGAAAAATAGGTGACAAAGAAAAAAAAAATAATTTGTCTACGATATGAATGCAGCATGAATTGTAATAATAAGCATCAATAGCGTTATCTCTTGATACGAATGTTGTTCAGTTTACAGATGGAAGTATCTCACCTATCCAGTTGTCAGGAAATCCAGTGGTAGCCACAAGTGGTGGAAACTGTAATGGTGGTAACCTGTACACAGGAATTGTGACTGTGAGTTACAATGTTAATCCTGCTTTATACGGAGAGACGGTACGTTTAAGGCTAACCATCAACAACAATCCTCGTATCTCAACCACGTCTACAGGGACATTGTCATTCATAGGTATGAACAAAGTTTTCTACGTAAACGATAAAAATATCTCATTTTGTACTACATAGAATCACTTTGTTCCCATACGTTTTCAGCTGTTTTGGATTCAATGAGCTCCGGAAAAAAATCTATATGTAGTTTGTGTAAAGATAACAATAAAGTATGCATTGTGAGCTGTTATTTAAGTTTTATGAGATCTAACTTCATTTTAGTAATATCGATATCAAAATAAACAAATGATCACTAAGTCCAATATTTTGAATATTCTTCATGTAGCAATCTACAATCTGACAGGGACATCAGAGATAGCGTTACTTGGACAACAATTTACATGGACTTGTCAAATGGTCATTCCTTCACAAGAGAGTCATGCAGTTGTTCGATTTTACAGAAATGAAACCAATGTAGGTTTAGTTGGAATTGTTAGCTATTGTAGAGGACTCAGTATAGATCCCAAATACAACTATAGCTGCACATCACAGACAGAGTTTAATCTCATCATTCCATCAGAAAATATGACAGAGGAAGAAAACAACACGATATGGAGATGTTCTTACGTTTTTAGTGGAAGCCCGTCATTTAGCAGTATTCAAAAACGACTGATCATTGGAAGTAAGATTTTCAACAATCTCTTCTCTTAATGTGAAATTAAAAATACATGTTGATTAAATTAGGTTTAGCGATATTAAAAATAAATTCATTTTCTTTCGAGGAAGCGTGGTTTTGATGGCCGATGTCACTTTTCTGTAATTTTTTTTGCTGGTTTTTCTTAATATTTTCACAATCTGTCAAATTATCGATACTAATTAAGGATATAAAAAAAAGACGATTGTTGCTTTATTTTAGAGACATTTAATTTTTATTAAGATTTGACCTGTTTAATGTAGAAAATATTATTTCCGATTCGAAAACTTTATATGAAAAATTATGGCCATTTAACTCTGGGCCGTGCGCACTAACTGTGGCCTTTAAAGACTGCGATTTTTACAAAAATATAAAGTTCGAACAATTCTGACTTAGATTCAATACAAATATGTTCGTTACAATTAGTTTATCTAGGAGCATTTAGTTTGACAAAGAAGGTTATTGTCCACGAACTTTATAGACAAACTCGTATAATTGTAACATACTCAATAAATTAGCAAAATTTTCTTTTTGATAGATAAACCAGAAGTGCACATGAAGACAATAAGTCCCTACCGGATTAAAGAAGGTAACACAGCTCTAATGTCATGTGGTATCGTCACCGCCACTCCCAATACAGATATCATTTGGAGCTGGGTAAAAACTGACGGACCGAATAACATCCTCCATAATGGACCTACATATAGAATTTCCAATATACAGAGGGGACAATCAGGCACATATAAATGTACAGCCACAAACATTATAGGGACATCTCTACCAGCTACAATACATGTTGATGTGCATTGTAAGTATTCATACTAATGCATTATAATTTACTGTTCTGTAGAAATGGCAAAAACATAAAATGCCAGTATGCATACCGTAAAAGTTTTTCCCCTAAATATATGAAGTCTACAAGAATAGCACCGCCAGATAGAAATGTTGAAATTGGTATCAATTTAAATTAAAAGTTTCGTATTTTTTATCTTCACATAATCAAAAAACACATCTGCAACTTTTTATTTTTTTAAATATTCTATCATTTTATAATAATGCACAAAGGATCAATGATTGCTCTCATTTACCCCCCCCCCCCCCCCCCCGAAAAAAAAGTTTTTAAACATGGTACAAAGTTTTCCCAAAGACCAAATATCATTCTCGATGATTTTTTGAAATATCTTCATATGTTTGAAATAGAACTCAATATGCTTGAAGTTGAACGATTGGAGACTTAGGAAGTCAGAAATTCAGTTTTAAGAGATCAGTAGGAAGCAATATGTTTGCAAAAATTCAATTTAGTCACAAATAAGTGTAAGGATTCCTTTTCCATGTTAAATCGTATAATTTGTAAAGAAATCACAAATGCTAAGAAATAATAATGCAAGATAATGACAATTCAATTTGAACCCCAACCTCTTATCCTGTTTATGTACAGTGCACATGCACTTCTGAGAATGAGTAACAGAACAGAGGGCCAAACGGAAATATATTATGTCCTTGAAAAAAAAAATTGGGCTAGGCGTAAGCCACGCGTAATAAACAATTTTCAAAAGCCCCATATTACCTTTATAAGTAATTACATAACAATTTCTCCTGTCGAGATTTTTTCAACACAGTTTTTTTTTTTTTTTTTTTTTTTTTTTTTTTGGATGGAGCATATATTTTACATACTGAAGTCGTCTGATGCTCATGTGTCGTCAGTTATTAGTTATTAGGCTTCTTACAAGGTCAATAGAAACAACGTAATATGTATTTGATATTTGGTCAGTGGTCCAAGCGGAGGGAAGATATGAATTTGAAATCCAATCAATATGTCTCATGGAGGTGTTATGTGAACAACATCATGTCAGTAAGAAACACGATATAGTTATAGATATTATTCTTCTCGACCAATGAAATTTCAAAATTTTTATCAGAGGCAGAATAAAACTATTTACAGTGAAACCTGTATAATCCGACATGCACTGGTAAACAATTTTTGTGTCAAAATAGACATAGTGTCTTGTTGCACAGAGTAAAGAATATAGAAAACCGTAAAATAGGAGTAAAAATAAGGGTCAGAATTGACAGTGAAACGGATTGAACAGGTGACGGATTAGACAGTTTTTACTGCAATACAAATATGCTTACCACAATATGTAAAAGAACAATGACAACACCTCTACTGATGTCATACACACCAGAGGAGATCTTAGCATACAAGACATTAGCGTGGTGAAATTACTATATAAATTATACAAAACGATCAGGTAAAGGAGACAAAGAGTAAAGTCATGATAAAACTGTATTATTTGTTGCTTTCTTCTTGTTTTCTAAGGTAACTTTTCTTTTATTCTCTCGGTGTTTAAATTCAGTATTTGACCTAGCAAATATTCATTTTATCAAATGACATTCTCAGTTCAAAAAGACATAGGTATTTTACAAATTGTGACACGTAAAAATTTCCAAAAAAAATGTCTATGAATAATAGAACATAAATCGCTTATTACCAGAATTGCATTTTTTTTTCTTTTTTTTTCTTTAGGCTCATCCGTTTTCAAATAAATATGCTTCTGCATTGAGAGAAAAAATCAACTTTTTTTTAAAATGATAAGTTGATAATTCACATGGGTAATTAATGCTCTAATGATATCATTTCATGTTTAAAGATAATACATATACATGTACGTTACACCTACATGTATTTAGATGGTCCGAGTCTAGTAACATTTTCCCCAGATATCAACACCATAAATAGATTAGAGAACCAAACAGTGGGCCCAGTTATATGCTCAGCAGTCTGCAATCCAACATGTACATACCACTGGGCAGGAGTGAGTACAGTGAATTCAGCAAGGCTAGACCTTGGAGTACTGAAAAGAACAAAGAGGGGGAATTATACATGCACAGCTACTAACGTAATATCTTCCTCCTCAAGAAGCCTCAGTGTGACTATCAATTGTATGTTTTTAATTTTTTTTGTTTTTGTTCAACTGTTTCTTTTTATTAAAATCGCTACTATTAAGTTTTATTTCAAACTAGTCATAACTTAACTTTTTTGTAGATCCCCCAAATATTGAAGTGTTCCAAGCAAGTGGTAATCAGATTTATGAAGAGTCTTCACAGTTTAGTATTATGTGTAAAGTTGACAGCTATCCACTTTCTAACAATTATATTGAGAATACAGAAACTGGAAAGGTAGTATCTTCAAGCGGGCCGACAAAATCTCTCGTGTTCAATGAAATATCTGCTAAGTGTTATCAAACTTCTAATTACACGTGTAACAGCCGAAATTTCTATGGATCATCATCATCACGTAAACTCGGGATCTACATTTATTGTAAGTAACTTTTAATCTTGTAAAGAAAAATTTTAATTTTTTTTAATATTTCGATTTTCATATGTCTTAAATATAAAGTTTAAGACAAACATTTTACTCTAGGCAGGCCAAGACCTTTAGACGGAAAGTCTTTTTTCATAATTGGAATACAAAAAGGAAAAGGACTAAATATTTCTACTCAATTCGTTGGATATCCTCTCCCAACGATATCATGGAAATTTAAAACAAACTCATCGGATATGCTTACCACCCTTTCTGGTGAATTCCAAACATTTTCAAAACCATTGAATGTGTCGGCAATACAGACAGGTCTTACTAAAATGATTCTGCGTCCAGAGGAGTTTGGATACTACATAGTTACAGCTAGTACTCCAGGGAATATATCTCAAAACTACACAGTCACGTACCATGTGATTCCAGAAAGTAAGGTCAAATAAATCAGAGTTTGCTCTTTTTTCTTTTAAAAAAATCTTCAGTTGATTTGAAGTGATTCGACTAAGTTGATCCATGCTTTTATTTGACTGTTACCTTTCGTCTTGTCTGCCGTATGTGTCATGCTATGCCTCATCGTTTTTTCTACAACTATACCACGTACTCAAACGTATCAACTTCTGAAAACTAATATTATTTTCAAATGATTACAAGTTGTAATAGAATAAAACTCTAAGACTTTTGTAGGAAAACCAGATGCTCCAAACAATATAACACTTGACTGTGCAGTTTCAAATGGAAGAGCAATCATAAAGTGGATTCCAGGCTTTGATGGTGGAGCAGATCAGACGTTCGTAGTGTCTTACAGAACAAATACTGGACTTCACAAGAATACAACTCGGATAAACTTACGGTCCTACGTCACTATTACGGGGTTAAACGATCGAACATTATACTTTTTCAAGGTTATTGCATCAAATAGAAATGGGGAAGATTCTTCTAAAGAAGTACACTGTATGACAAAAGGTATATTTCCCTTTTTGAGCCACATGCCATCTAACATGCTTGAATCTTATCATACCGCAAGTTACCATTCTCGCACAAAAGTTGCCCATAGCCTATTATTACATGATATAATGAATTATCTTAATTGAGGTTATTATGAGTACTTAGAAACTTAAAGAGGGACAATGCTCATCAAAATAAACGGGTGAAATATTATCGTTGTGACGTAAAAAGAAAAAGTTTGTCTTTTTTGTTTAGATTAATCAGAAAATGTAAAATACCATTATTAGTGTTTTATAAACTTTTGATAAACAATTAAATCGATTTTCAAGTTTTTCATATAGAGAAGGTTGATTGATTGTATGTCTCGTTCGAGAACCTTTCACTCATATATAGACGTCACCATATACCGGTAAAGGGCTTCAACTTTATACCTTTACTTGGCACTGGGACATTGAGCAGTGAGCAATCTTTTCGTGTTAACACCTGCCGTGACACGCTTCCTCGGTTTTTAAGGTTTTCAAAGTGCAGAGCGCTTGGCAAAGGAACACAGTCAGCCGCGGCCGGGGTTTGAACTCATTTGAACCCACTACTTTCCGATCAAGGAGTAAACGCTCTAACGACGTATAAATTCTGTTTGAATTCAAGCAAACCATAAACAAAAGAAAAACAATCGTTCTCTGCAAAACAAATTTTTGCAAAAAAAAAAAAAAAAAAAAAAAAAAAAAAATCCTAAATCGGTACTAAATAATTCTCTACAATTGTCCCTTAATTAAAAAACCCCTTTGCATTCTTTATATGAGATGCATGCCTTTTACTTCCCAGAATCCACTGCTTTCCCAGAATCCACTGCCCAGGACATAGCTGACATCGTTGGAGGTACAGTTGGAAGCATTTCTCTGGTGTTAGTTATTGTCTTCTTCATCTTAATCAAGAGAAAATACCAAATTAAATGCTGGGGTATGTATTTTATTATTTGCATATCTGTAATAATTCAGTCAAACTCGCTATTACGAACTTGTTGGACCCGAGAAACACCCCCTACCCCCTGAGATAAATCTAGGGATTTGAGTTTAAACATATAAAGAAAAGTGGACTGGGACTTTCATCTCACTTCAAAAATAGCCATGGTATTCAAGATATCAAAGTTGCCCCTAACAAAATAATACTATAGTTAACTATAGATAGGTTACGATAGTTAACAATAGTTTACTATAGTTAACTATGGTATCAAAGTTTTTTACTATTGTGAATCAAAGAATTTATACTATGGATTTCAGATTGTTATGTTTTTTGTTCATCAATTCGTATATGCACATTTTTTTTTTTTTATATTTTATGGAACTATCATTTGTATATTCACATATTATTTCCAAATTTTAAATCACTGCTATCAAATTTAAGAGATTTTAAGCTTTGAAAACTAAGACGATTAAAGTTTTATAGTAAATCAAAGTATCAAAGTTTTTACTATAGTTAACTATAGTAAATTTTGTTAGGGTGGAGACACTGAATTTCTCAAGTAATTAATTGATTTGCATTATTAAATTTTACATTTTTGTGTCTTGTTGATTTCAGAAAGAATCCAAATCCTCAGGTAAGAAAATCAACACCACTGTACATGACAAGCTTTCAAAATATATACCGAAATATTTATTATATTGAGTATTGAATGTTGAATATGTTTAAAGTATTAATCTGTGTAGTATTAAGAAGGTAATTTTTTCATATTTAATAGCATGTTCATGATGATTATAGAAAAAAATTTACTGAAGCAATTCCGTATTAAATTCATCATGCATATGGAGAGTATAGCTGAATGTAGATTATGACATTTGAAAAGAAGTGTTTGAGTTGCTATGAATCTATTACAAAGCTTTTACAAAGCGTTGGTACTCCACAAGAGGAAAACGCCTGCCTGGTTGATCCTGCGTTCGAACAGCATGTTTTAGTTTATATCAATTAATGACGATATAAGTACTTTATTTTTAACAGGAAAAAGGAAACTGAAGAGCCAAACAGAATGTTAGAGATAAAAGTTAGGTATATATGAAAATTTTCAATGGCATACATTAAAATACTCAACAAAATTTAATTTTTCTCCTTTTAATTTTAGGTCAAGAAAATGATCAAAGGTAATGCATTTAATAAATTTTAAAGACATTGTTTATCATTCTGTGTAAAAATTTATCAGTTTTATTCAATTTTCCGTACTAAAATATTAGCAATAAAAGGGCGATATACATGTACATAAAGAATGTGTCTTTCCAAGAGAAAAAATGAATGAATTTCATACGTTTGAATTAAAGTTTAAAAGAAAAAATAACAAAAATGTAAATATTAACTGGCAAAAAGAATCTAAAAATGTCAACCCCTCAAGTGTTAACAATTGCAAGGTAATACCAAACAAATAACCTAGGGATGATGAACTTTAACCCAACAAGAGAATGTGATTCTTTTCTTTTGCAATCTCCTGCTGTGAATTTATTCAAATAAATGCAAATTATTTGAAAAATAACGTTTTATTAAATTTTCAAGTGATATTCTATAATTTATTTATTTATTGAATAAAAATGACATTTTTTATAGTGTGGAAAAAATAATAAAGTGGTTCTTTTCCAACAGTGTAAAAGATTATAAAAGTGATTTTTTTTCACAGAGTGAAAAAATATTAGAAGTGCAGCAAAACTCGAGATTTTCCTTCCCTTTATGAAGAGTGTTTTAAAAAAAATACTCGGCCTGTTATAAGATAGATATATAAAAAAGGAAATTAAAAATCCTAGCAGAAACTAAAACTGACAATGTTTCTCCAAATATATTTTTGAAATCCATGTTTACAACATTTTTTATCCCACAATCGCCTAGCTAAGACGTCTCGACCGCTCAACTGGGGTGTCGGAACTTATGATACAGTGTCATGAAAAGGCAGAGTCAAAGGGAAAATTAAGAAAAATGTAGTAAACAAAAAATTCAATTTTTTTTGCTGAATATGGAATTTATTTCACTCGTGAGCAGAATTTTTTTTTATATTTTCACATCCGCTCTGAACTTTGTTCCCACTTGTGATATAAATAGAAAATATTTAAAGAACGATTGAAATATGATTTTGAAGGATTTTCTGAATAAATTACAGCATTTCACTGTTAAAATGTAATAAATTCCAAATTCAACTACATAACATTGATAATCCTCTATATATTTTCTTTAAACAAATATGCTCTAAATAATTTTAAGTCTTGATAAAAAAGTATATTTTGTGATTGTATGCATCTGCAGTGGTATGATTAATGTGGATCTGGAAAATATTTTTGTTGAAATCTAAAACGATCATTATTTCTGGAAATAAATATCAATTGCAGCTATTGAAACTTAATTTCTTGCACCTTATTGCAAAGAAAAGAACAGCTATTTATACGAAAATCAACGTCATAGCCCCATGCATTATTGTCGTTGGCGATACGAAATATCTGTACTGAAAACTGTTTTTGAATGAAATATATACTAAAAAGACGCACGGACGTATTTTACAAATTCTATAATGTGTGGTGATTGAAAACGATTTTATTTTTTGAAAAGGGACTAATTTGGAATTGTATTCAATACTGCTAACATGTTTAGAGTTTTCGTTATATTGAAAATTATATTTTACTATATTTCATTTTCTTGTATATTTGTGTGTGTGTTTTTTTAAAAATCTTGTTTTTAAAGACTGCCATCCACTTCTTTGGTAGTTCTTTTATAAAGTTGTTAATTGTACGTGATCAGTTATGAATAACTTTCATTTCTAAAAAGGGTTCACTATGAAGAACTAAAGGCAATTAGTCGGGATCAGGAAAGGAGTTACGATACTATACAATCGCCAGATGGTAAGTGTTATTCTAACGAGGCACAAGCTAACCTTATTGGACACTAAAAACTATAATAATATAAGACCAAAAAAAATGAAAAAGAGAGATTAAAAGACTAATCATTGATCGTTTTGTTTCAGGACATTGTGATGAAAATATGTAAGTCTTTTTTTAACACTTGTTCTGTAAATTGATGTTTGGAACCAATTAAAAAACTTCTTCTAACTATAAAATGGATCAACTTCTTTATCGAAAACATATACAGTGCAAGTTATGAAAGTCTAGATCAACAACCCCTAAAAGAAGAAAACAAGTATGAAGTATTGGATATCGTTGAAGGTATATATATATATATATATATATATATATATATATATATATATATATATATATATATATATATATATATATATATATATATATATATATATGAATCCTGCAACCTGCATATGATAATTAAAATAGAAATTATCGTAATATTATTAAAATATTATTTTGGTCACTTTTCTCTAAACATTACTTTAGGCATATTTTCCTCAATTTACAGATTCCAAAGATCCCAAAAACACAGATTCCAAAATGATACAGTCAGCAAATGTCTACATCAATGCGTCATTTAATTGATTCAGGAAATAGTGTACATATTGATAATGTATCAGTAATCTAAAGAGTTCTAATGATAGAACTATGGTTGAGATAAAGATGTTAAAAATTGTTTGATTCTCCATTCCCATTTACATTGTTGGAATGTTACAACGATTTTTGTATCAATAAGTCGAAGAAATTCTGAATGCAGGTATGTTAAACAAATAATAAATGAATGTGTGACAAAAGAACTGAAAGTACATACTTTTTTTTTTTTTTTTTTTTTTTTTTATAATTTTTGATTTTTTTTAAATGGCTGTCTTTCGGTCTTGTTTATGCATTTCATTTAGTTTACATGGGATAAAACATTAAATGTTAAGTCAAGAAAGTTCCAAACTGTGTTTTATGTCATAATGCTATCTGTGTATCACATTGTTCTAATGTCATAGCTGCAGAACTGTACCTCTCTGGTTGAGAAAATTCGGACAGACAAACCAGAGAGCTACAGATCCATGCAAGTATTGTAAAAATCTTCGATTTACGGCGACGCTTGTTTGTCACTCACTTCGGGTATTATTTCTTGTATTATATGTATTCCCTTGCCAGTACCCGTTAATTTACCATATAGTTTACTCCCATTCCTAAAACTATTTACCTTTCAGAGTACTTTATTGTTATTCTAGAACAATCCCTACATGGACTCCACTACTGGCCCAAATAATTACTGATAGTGCCACTTTTTACTGATAATTTCTGATATTTACTGATATTATACTGTTGGTACTGAGAATTTCTGATATTTGCTGATATTTTTACTGTTGTTACTGATAATTGCTGTTGGTTCTGATAATTACTGATATTTACTGTCGTTTTTACTGTGGGTTCTGATAATTACTGATATTTGCTGAGAGTTACTGTTGGTACTGAGAATTGCTGATAATTACTGAGAATATTTTTTCTGAACCCAGAAGATGTAAAAACAAGCCTCACACTGACTGGAAAGGGAGGGGAATTGGTTGAAAGGAAGAATAGGGAAAGAAAATCCGTTAGGAATCGTTCTTATTTTAAAACATGATTTTAGAGGAAAAAAAACCTGGTATATGAAACTTTATAAAGACTTTTTAAACTCAAGCTGTTTCAATAATGGCTATACATGTAATTAAAGAATAATCCTTTAAAGCTTTTACTAATTTTTTTTTCAATACTGACAGTAGTTGTACATAAAAAAGTTCTGTTGAAAGCGGTGTCAGAGTTTCTTGAGAACACCCCCCCCCCCAAAAAAAAATGAAATAAATAAAGGATTACTTAATTTAAAAAAAAAAGCAAAACAATAAATACAAAGAAAAAAAAAATAACAGGACATTTTTGAGACACGCACATTACTGTATAAATGAACCTGACGGAAGTATTGCAGTAAAATTATTTGGACGTCACTCCCTCTTTCTCGCTTCCCAAGGGCGTGTTAAACAATTTTTTAATTTAAATTCAAACAACAAAGAACAGATGATGTTATTTATATCTAAAGCTTACTATTGAAAGAACTATGATTACAGAAATAAATTTAGAGAAAAGACAATATCCCGATCTATTTTTTTTTCATTTTGAAAATATTCAAGACTACTTGCAAGACTTAGAAAATTAATATATACAAATGATCAGTATTCATTTTCACTAATCACAACGGTGCCTGATGTAAATTGTTTTCAAAATAGAATTCTAAAATTTCCTTGCAATTACATGTAGTCCATTAACATGCAACAGATGTGTGCTGGTCCCGGCATTATTCTTAAACTACGTCTTCATTGAGTCTATACCTTGATTTTAAGTAAATATATCTAAATAATAGAACATTTATCAGATGTAATGTTAAATTATATCATTTGATAAGTATTTTAAAACCGAAAAAATGTCACCCTGTAATAATATTCATGTTAAGAATCTGCTTATTTTATCCCCCCCCCCTTTTTTTCTGCCTTAAATGTAGAATGCACAATAACATGTACCCAACCTCGAGGAAATTAAAAGGATTAGAACCGCTGAAATATGAAGTTTGACACTGCATTTTTTTTTATACATACCGGACCCTTGTTTGGTTAAAATAAAATTATTTCCCCTATACCACGAAGTAGACTGTTACACGGATAAACATTTTTTTTCATTCATTTATCTGTTTATATGTAATGAATTTATTTCTTTTAGAAAGAGGCATTCTTAATTATGAGTTTTACTCATCACTCATCAATCTTAGCCGGAAATATAAAAATAGAAGTTATCCCTCCCCCACCCCACAATTTTAGCTTAAACGTTCTGGTTTACAAGTATTCGTGTTGAAACATGTAGCATCATATTTTGATACATTTAAATTCTTTATTTTTCATGTACAGTAATTGTTGTATTTCTGTTCTTTTTACGCAAATGAACGAAATGTGAGATATACATGTATAACAGAGAGAGATACATTTTTTAATCCACCTGTCACTTCATTGTTGCGTAACTGACTGTTTGTGATATATCCGGCGAGTCCCGGCCGCCGAGTGCCTTTCTCTCTCACTCGCCGTACGTGTCATACATGTATATATATACAGCAGGGACACCTATTGTAATTTTCTCGCTACCGTACAGTATACATCACAGCGCTTCCGTTTGTGTACAATACCCATAGAAGTCCTAGGACCCCGTCACTGTGTTCAACAGTAATCAGATAAAATATACTTGTAACATGTGGGATGAATAATAATATTTTTTGTGGTAAATTGAACAGGATTTTGAACTTTTTCATGTAAACCAAATCTTATTTTAATATTCTGATGAATTTAATGAGCTAAGTGCAACAGGAAAATAAGTCACAGTAACTGTTAATGAGGGATAGATTGTGCATTAATTTAGAAATAATTCATACTGATATAAAACATGCTGATTCTCTGTTACATGACATTGTGAAAATACGATTTCATTTTCACGTTTAATGAATAAACTTTATTTGACGCCAAATCCTTGCATAATCTTTGGCTTGTTTCAATTTACTCCAACAAGACGCTAAACTTTATATAGAAATATTTCAGATCTGTTGTTTTCCTTAACAAATCAACTATACACAGAGTAACTTCCGTGTGCATTCTACTTGTACAGTATGTCCTCATTTTCACATGTAAATGTCTACCTTTCTGCAAAAATCTTTGAAATATTTTTCCACTGAAGAGACTCAGTCCTAAATAAGACACATTATTGATTAAGGAAGCGCTATTTCCAGAAACAAATTCTGTTGGAAAAAGTTCTAATACGTCATTTTCAGGATGATTATACATGTAGATCGCGTGTGCCCCCCCCCCCCCTTCAAAACTTATTTGCTACAAACTTAAGGTTAAGTTTCTTCATGTAATTAGCCCGTTTTAAGATATCCAACAATTAAAACACACAAAATATTAACATTAAGATTAATTCTATTTATTTTAAGGACAGCACATGTCTCTGGACATGTTCAGTAAAAATTATATATGAATTGTGTTAATTTATCTAATTAAGGATATGAATTAATTACGCTGAGGTTCTATGTGTATCAAACATTTATTTTTTCCCCATTGATTGTTTTTACTGACAGTACATGAAAAATCTCTATTTTTAAAAAAAATATTTTTGACGACACAAATGGAATCATGATCAATGTATTCAAGAAACATTATTATACGGTATGTGTTTTAACAAGTAAAGGTTTTGAACTACTTAATTGTTACATGTTTCCGATGAAAATCTGAAATGCTGTAGAAAATGTTCAGAACATTACAATATGTGAACGGGTTGGTGGTGTATTGATCTTGACTTACTTTGATCCAATCTCTTATAATACTTAGGAGCGGCGGATCAAGAATTTTCTGAAACAAATAACTACTGTAACAGTACTTTATATGGCATTAAAAATGAACGGTTTAATTTTTTTTCATGTGTTCTTTAGATAACATTTCACTCGTATTGGGACGCTATTATTTACCTATTAAAAGCTGCGAATTTCGACCTGTACGCTGCACTTACATGTGCATGTGTATGTCCATAAATCAGTGGCAGGACCTTCCGTGTTCAACTTTTGACATGTATACTCGGCGGCATTTTTTTTTTACTTATGAGAAATCTTTCGATCTGTACTCTGCACTTATAAACAAAGAGCAGAGAGGGATCTTTTTCGTGACTCTGCACTATTTGATCACCGAGGAATCTTTTTTGTGCCAGCACCTACTTTGACAGAAGACCGCGGTTTATACAGTCCCATCTGAAGGACCGATCTCCATGTCCAACATCACCGCACTATATGTATGGATTAAATATGAATACAATTATTTTTTTTTAAATTGGTTTTATAATGAGAAACTGATTTATTACGTCCTTAATTTTTAGACCTAGTAGTCATCAATTGAAATAATACACGTAAGTCCTTAGGAACTAAGGAACAGGGTGAATGGGAGTGGGGGGGGGGGGTTGGCAGGTTGAATCTTCTTACAGAAAGAGAAATTAAAGTTTTTTTCATAAATATAATTACTTTAAAATAATTTTTATGACAAAATGTACACTATGCTTGCCTTGCTGTCACTCAAGTTACAAATTCTAAATAACTATGGGTAAAAAAAAGATATAAAGAATAAATTATAAAATTAAATTAATTTCTTTAATTTATTTAATCCAACCACCCCCGGTCTCTTTTAAATTTTACATCTCATGAACTTAGAAAATAATCTCAGTAATTATCAGCAATTCTCAGTACCAACAGTAACTCTCAGCAAATATCAGTAATTATCAGAACCCACAGTAAAAACGACAGTAAATATCAGTAATTATCAGAACCAACAGCAATTATCAGTAACAACAGTAAAAATATCAGCAAATATCAGAAATTCTCAGTACCAACAGTATAATATCAGTAAATATCAGAAATTATCAGTAAAAAGTGGCACTATCAGTAATTTTTAAGGCCAGTAGTGCTCGGAATACGAATTTTTGAAGTTGGCATTCCAAGGCCATATAGGGCTTTTTAGAAGCGTTGTTATGTAAATTAAGTATCAGAAATTGTCATCCGAACAAAGGAAAATTTATTAGCCTTCTCTTTAGCGTGTGACTGCATTGGCTGACCAAATTTTGATCTGCTACTGTTTAATTTCGTCATATTTTACAATTATTCAAGTTCATATGATAAGACAGAATTGTTCATCATCATCAATGAAAATGTTCAAATAACTAACCTCGTATATTCATTACATAGGTCTGCTACATACCTAGAAAAACTTAATTGGCTTCTATACCTAACGCCATTTACGTATTTCCTTTCTATAGTAATGTAGGCCGCCACGGTAGCTCAGTCGGTAGAGCGCTCGCTCTGTGATCGGAAGGCCATGAGTTCGTATCTCGGCTGCGACTGACCTAAGTCGATAAAAAATAGGTAGCAACTGTTCCTTCGCCAGGCGCTCGGCACTTTGAAGTGAAAGTTGCGAGTCCTTCGGATGAGACCTTAAAAACCGAGGCCTCGTGTCACGGCAGGCGCTGGCACGATAAAGATCACTCACTGCTCAATGGCCCTGAATGTCGGGTAAAGGTCTAAATATGAAGTCCTCCACCAGTATATGGTGACGTCTCTATATGAATGAAAAATTCTCGAATGGGACGTAAAACTACATTTAATCTATTCAATCTATAGTAATGTACTTTTATAGACTGTAGTACATTAAATAGAAAGATATATTCTTGAATTATGTATCCCTTTCACTGTCTTATGAAAAGAAAAAAAAGAACAAATATGTTTAGATTTTGAGAAATGGAAAATTATATTTTGTTAAATTTACGCAACTTCGAAATCTTGTGATTTATTGCTCATTTTATATACAACTCTCCAAAATTCTCATAAACTTATATACCGTTAGCATTTTATTCTGAATGGATTCATACTTAATTAATGCACAGTATAAGCTAAATTCTTCGAGCTTCATATAATAGATGTGTGTTTTATTTGAGATAAACACACGCTAATTGTAGACGCTGGTGTTTGGAGGTCACGGGTAACCGCCTTCAAACTGGCATGCAAGAAAGGTGTGAAAAGTCGTTTCTTGAAATTGAAAATTTACCGTCCGGATAAACGAGTCATTTTTCAATGAAATGTTAAGTTTTGTAGTAGAAATTGACCGTCCAGATGCGGAACGCGAATTTTCGGATTAATAAGACATAATAGCGTTGAAAAAAATCGGTTCCAAAAAATATTATCCGGAAGGTGCAGCGTCCGGATTAATGGCGTCCGGATTCACGCGGCGCCACTGTATTGTTGCCATGATGATCGATTTATAAAGGTAATAATCGGTATAATAAAGCACATATCTTTTTACTCTTATTTTTTAGAAAGCTTTTGTTATTGATGTATATCTTCCATATATATCTTTCCAGTATTGTCGTTTACCTTTTTAACACACTAAAAATCTGGTTTTATAAAAAAAAGCTGGTTACAGATAAGTTCAACTACGCTTGAAGTTCTTAAAATTAATTATAATGGTATTTATATCTCTAAACCGAAGATGTATATGTTGCACAAATTAAACAAATTGGTTATCAGGGTTTTTTTTTGTGGAGGGGTGGGGGTGGGGTTGCCTTTCATTTAATACAGAACCAAATGGATTTGCTACATTAACTATCTAATAAACAGTTAAAAATTTAATTCCATATTTTAGATGATCATATTGTTTAAAACTCTGTGAACACTTAATTTTTTTTACCCAGGTTAACTTAAAAATCATGTAAAAATTATAAAATTAAGTTTCTTCATTGAACATAAAATTTAGTACCTTTTTGAAACAAATGATTACCGATTCGATTATATTGGCCGATTATCAGTTGATTAGTCAACCGATGCTGCCTATAAATCGATTCTGAGAGAATCTAATGAATACTTACATGTAATTACATTTAATTTATTCGTTCTCTCCTGTCCATTTTCGTTCAAACAATTGTGCATCTGATTGCATGGGCCTTAATTATTTAAAATGCAAAGGATAAAACAGCCATTCCGCAAATGCATCTTGGAGCTGTTAATTATTAGGAGGATAATTAAGAGATCCTCCCCAAGGATGTGGTCTCATTTCTCATTGAGACCCCAAGATATGACCAATTATGTCAGGTTAGTAAGCTTAATTAGCTACATAATTTTAAGTTCTTCCTCTTAATGGTTAAGTAAAATTATTAGTATAAAATGCACATTTTATATTATATTACATATTATGATGCCCCTAACTAGTGCTATTTTTTTAATATTTGATTAATACATGCTGTATGTTCATATTATAACAATTATACATACATATGCATAAAGAAAAAAAGTATCTTTTTACATACATCTAATATACATTTAATTTACTTCCTTTTATACTTGGGCTAAAATTGGCCTTACTGCAAGCTTTTACTACATATTAAAAATATTACTATATAAATCTGTATTCACGATGACTAAAATCTTGTTAGACGTGAAGACAGAACTCTGCTTTACGAATTATGGAACACTAAATTTCGAACTTTTTACAATGCTATATAATTTTAAGTATATTATATAACAAAATGTTCTGTTAGTTTTTAACATTATTCATCCAATGATTACTGATTATTGCATGTAGTCAGATGATACTTTGCAGTATGCAAACCCTGATATCATTCGTTTTGGCATTGAAAAAAAAAACGTGAACTAATCATAAAAATGTGGGTTTCCGCCGTAGAAAAACTGCATATATATATATATATATATATATATATATATATATATATATATATATATATATATATATATATATATATATATATATATGTAAGAAGAAGTAATAGCTAAATGCCATAAAATGAAAAGAATCAAAACAATTTAGTTTGATTATTCAGCGTGATAAAATGAGCAAAAGTAAGCGATATGACTTGTGCTAATCTGGAACTTATTGATGTCAAATATTTTTAATAATATATTGGGAATGTTTTGGTCACATGTTTCACATTTTTTCCATTTCAACCTAAACTGAATAAACTGATCAAAATCCCCAGACCTATTTTGTTGAAAATTTAATTAATGGCATTAAAGGCTGTATCCAAATAACTATCTACTTAAAAATGTCCTTTCTTGTAAAAATTCCAATAACTCACTCAGCTACATCCAATGTTTATATAATGTAACTACTTCAAAGCAGAACAATGTTGTTAATGTATTTTGCAGTTAAATTGTCGCCTTAACTGGAATAAATTCTCTTTATTTTTCCACATTTCCTCTATGAGTATGTCGTTGTTTTTATGGACTACTACAACAGGGTTGTTCTTTACTTTCTGGATCCTATGGGTCTGCTTTGCTTAAAGAGTATATCATTCCCACCTTATCGGACTCTAATGTGAAATCTCCATATTTCTGGAATCAATTCAACTGGTACAGAACATTCTCCTATGATCTTATCAAAGGCACTGGTTTATTTGCTCTTTCTAGGCAGACCGTTATGTTTTGTTTAGCAGCTGTGTAATTTCCAAGTCCGGATTCTGGTTTGTATTGTGGAGAATTGATATAATCTTGAAGCTCTGTAGCTGTTTTGCTTTTTTTCATGACTTTGTAAAAGTTTTTTCCTAAATATTCAGCACACACTGCATGACACAGCCAAAACACTGCCGTATTCCAGTTTTCTTTCATCATGTATAGATATCCGAGCAAACTAAATGACGTCGCACTGAAGTCCTCGAGGCAGTAGTTTTCGAAATCTTTCAATAGAGTATCGTGTTCTCTTTCTAAGTTTTGTTCCGTAGAATCCATTTCTATCTTCTCAATGTCTTTTGCTGATGACTCTAGATTTTTCTCTACTTTGTCTTGTCCAGCAGAAGAGGGGTTACTTTTTCCAAGATTACGTTCTGTGGCCTTTTCTCTGTCGTTTTTAGAATAACATTCTTTTTCTTCCATCCAACAAAACACACTTCTCCCTAAAATGTAATAACAAAGGGCTTTTGACTTGCAGCGAAAAACTTCACGGACTTCTATCTCGTTCTTTAGGAATCCGTCTAGCACCTGTAGCAATGACACCGAAAACTCGTTTTCAGAGTCGTCATCAATATGTTCAATGTACTTTTTTAGGAGTCCTATCCCTACATGCCACTCTTTTTGTACGAAATGTAAAAGAGCAATTCCTGCAATCATGCCCGAAGGAGGTTTTTCTCTTAAAGTCAACAAGCTGTTAAATTCTGTCTTTGAATTTTCAAACGCTGTAGTTCTTTTCACACTCTCAGATGGCAAAGAGCAAGCATGTGCTAGATACATAAATGCCAAATTTACTCTTGATTTAGTAAAATCTTGAAATCTTTTACTTATTTCCTTGAACATATCTATTGAATTTTCTGGATGTCTCACTTTAAGTGCTAAATACACCAAAACTTCTTCAACTGGTACATGTAAGTGTTGAAACATGTCCCCCCAAACCTTAATGATGTATTCGACTGCAGAATCGCATGTAGCACTGTGTATTAAACTCTGCACGTGACAAATAATTGCCTTCTCTGTTGCTTCCAAAAAATTTCCAGAATCATTGAAAGCTATTTCTGCTTCTCTAAATTTTTCCTTGTTCAAGCATAATAAACCAAGTAGATAGTGAGAGCTTGAGTATTGTTGCACTAAGCAATAATTCTGGAATTTCATCATGTACTCATTCCATGATGTGATCATGTCATCTTCATCGATACATAAAATGCGCACAAAGAAAGCCAGTGATATGGATGGAAATTGTATTTGTTTGAATGCATTTGTGGAAAATGTTTTGGACAAATGTGCCATCAAACGTCGTGGAAGCGCATTAAATGTAAGAACACTGTACTTGTTCATTTGGTGTTGGCAATTTTTTCCAGTAGTCATTGTAAAAAGATCTTTCAATATATCCTTTGCTTCTTTTTTCATGTTGCATCGAAGCAAAAAATTGGCATAGTTAATATGCCCTTGTACAGTCACATTATCTGTCTCCAACTTCTCATAAAGTGTCAGTGTTTTTTCTTTGATTTCCTTGAATTTCACAGAATCAATGGGATATGACATCGATGCTGAAGAATATAGTAATGCTAAATACTCTTGAAGATCAGACGTACCCTGACTATTCTGAGCATAAACAAGTATTGACTGGATCAACATGGTAAGTGGAAAAACTAATGTGCACTGTCTTGGAGGAGATATGCATTTAGGGTTTTCTACGATGCTCAGAACAAAATCCGAAAGATTTTCAAAGAACATTTTCATATGTCTATACATGTCAACTAATAGTCTGGCGACTTCTGTCGTTTTGAGGCTCAATAGACAACTTCGAGTGACCTTTTCAAGGACCATCTTGTAATTATCTTTAGTTGTTTGTTTATTCTTCCAATTGTCATTGTCGGTCAATGGTTGGATGTCCTCTCGAAACTTTGACCTTCTACTTTGATCTTGAAGCACATATTTGTCTGTGAAGGGAAGTAAAGTAAGTATTGGATTCTTTCTCGCTTCTTTCAAAATGCGCTCTGCATCTGAGAGGTCCTCTTCTGTTAAAACGTCAAACAAATTATTTTCGGGAATGAAAAAAGTAGGGAGTTTCCTGCATTTCACATGCTCCAAGAGTCTATCCAACAGGTAAAGAAAACACCAACCAGGATTTTCCCATCTTGTTTCAGGTAAGGTCTCGCATGCATACAGAAAAACTGTTTTGCAGTGATAAGAAGAAATAACCTCAAATTTATTATCTTTGTGAATCAGTGCTCTTCTGAAAATTTTGAAAAACACATAGGACTGTCTTTGGTAGTCACTTACAATCGATTTTGCCAATGCAACTTCTGTGGTGGCAAAGGAAAAACGCCATTCAATATCAGATTCGGGCCCAGTTGTTTGCTTATGGGCAACAGGAACGACGTGAAGACCCATGCTGAAGATTTTCTCAATATCAGCTTTACAGAGCCACATACTTTTCTTACATCGATTAATCCACGATCGTGCACACTCAGGTCATAGACAAGGGATCGCCCAAGTAAAATCCCATTGGTCTTTTAATATGGGATTGTCTAACGTCGTTTTGTTATCTCTTAATTCTACTCCTAAAGCAGGTCCTTTGCGTTCAACGTCATATCTCTCATCATGGCTTTTATATATTTTTCTAGCATCCTCATCCACATCTTTCAGATTCGTATTGATGTAATGTTTTCCACGAAACGAAGACGTACATTCAATCCCTTTTCTGTTCAGAGGAAATCCATTTTGGGGATTTAAGACGCGTATTCTGCAGTATCCAGGATGAGTATCATTTGTTTCTATATAAACATTGTTGTTTATTGGGTCTGCTTTTGTAACGGAAGACTGTTTAGATTCATTAAGCTCAGTCAATGGAGGACAATTTACAACTTGTAAGATATCGATGTCACTGTAGCGAACATACACAGGGAAAGGGTGATCAAGATTTTCATTACGTTCGAACAATCTAGGAATTTCATAGTATTCTGAGACACTTCCTACCTGGACACAATTATACTGGACTGGTTGCTCAGTTTGTTCGAGCATTTTGTTGAACTTCTGGGCATGATCTTGGTCTTTTTGATTGTTCTGAATAGACGTAGTGTATAAAGGTAGAAGAAGCTCTATGAAAAATGTTAGGTTGGGAATAGGGATCTCACAAGATTCTAAAAAAGAGATAAAAAAAATTACAATTATTAAAGTTTCCATATTTCTTCACATATTTGAGTTTTGATAGTTTAAGTTCATATATATACCAACCTTCTGGTTGTGTTGTATTATAATCCATTATAGACTTTTTTTCAGCTGTGTGATCTAAACATTAAAATCCACACTTGATGTTTTTTTCGTCAGTCTTAGCGTTTTTTTTTTTTTTACACTTCCTCGTTGGCGTTCTTTTATGGATATTCTCTGGGGTGTATCAGCTCAGCTTTCTTATTGGAGCTACCTTTCGCGCACACACCTGACCTAACATTTCAGGTATCATTTTCATACATTTTTAAACTTTTAATTTATTCAAGCTTGCACTGCAGTTATATTTAAAAGACGAGAATTATTTCAACTCAAGGAAAAATACCTGTACTCCTACAGAGGTGGATCCAGATATTTTATGAGTGTGCATCATTTATTGGAAAGGCGTGGTTTCGCTAAAACAAAACGTAAAATGTCGACGAAATAAAAAAAAAATAAATTTATGAGTAAAATTTCTCGCTATGTTTTTGACATTGTTGAAATATCCTTGAATAAAAACAGATGACAACACACAGTGGTCAAAAGTATTGATCCTGTATTATTGCTGATTTACGACTTTGATTTGCCAAAATGATGTTTATAACATTGAAAAAAGATGTGGCATACACTGTCATCATCAGCAATATTTTTCTCAATATGAGCATAAATATTTGTGACGTTCATAACTTTTTTGTTTAATCCAGTCAACGTTTTTTAATAGAGAGACTTGATATGTAATTCGTACAAACATGCCGACACTTTATTCAGTTGTATAAGGTTAATTGGGATGTAGTCAAACAATTTTGCATATTTTTTCTGCTTTGCTGGAAGTAACAAGAAAAGAAATTTCGACAAATTTCTTTTCATAATTGTTTACTCGGACATTTTAGCCTCATCCTGGACCTTGAACTCCAGACATTGGGAACATGTTTCTCGATGTTGGGTTTTCATTATTCAGTCTACCCAGTGAAAAAGACATATCTGATAAATGTCTGGAAAAACACAACCTAAAATTCGAGCATGCGCATTCCAGTGAAAAAGACTAAGATGATTGTTACTGCTCGAGATTGCTAACAACAAGAGGATGGTTGACCCAGAACATGAATTTTATTACTTAGTGAAGGGTCATCATTGTCAATATCTGAATGCAAACATGTGTTATACGATATCACTATTCGTTTTAAGTCGATTGGGCCTTTATAAGGAGGATCCTACATTAGATATGCATGTAATTTAGTTAAAGAAAAACTTTGCTATAAGTGGTAGATGATCTGACGGGAATATTTCACTTGGTGGCAGGTTCTTTCTCATTTCTTCTTCTGACAAAAAATCCAACACCGAAAGGACTTCAAGGCCACTCCCCTTAGATGTCTCCGAGCGAGGCTCGAAAAATATATAGTCCAGACAAAGACAGAATTCTGCGTCAAGATTGGTTACTTTTGGCTCTGTTTTCTGAAAATAAAACAATTAAGCCAAAATGTGAACAGTTTTAGATATTTCTAATACAGCTGTAATATGCCATATTATTTAGCCATATCATTAGAGAAATACTTTGTATTGCATGTTAATAGTGAACATATTTTTACTCCCAGAATCCACTATATTCATTATCACAATTTATAATTGACACAGTTTCATTTTACCGATACGTGTTTGTAGACACTCTCAAGAATCAACTTGTCCTCTTCCAAAACTTTTAACATCTTCTTCGTTGTGTCTAACTAAGATAAAGGAGAGAAATTACTCGAATATATAGCATTGGTTTTCATGTGATTAAAAATGTTCATTTGTTATACTTGAATAGCCTATCCCAAACGATACATGGCACAGCAACTTGGATACTGTTTTTCTTCAAATAATTATAAACAGGCTAAAAAACAAAACTGATTTCAATATCATATGGCAGGGTACACATAACTTTTTTAATCATTGCAGTTATTTCCTTTGAACTAAATGTATATATATATATATATATATATATATATATATATATATATATATATATATATATATATATATATATATATGGAAGCCAAAGCTGTGAACACTCAATTCAGTAACATTTTTTTTTACTTGCTTGACAGGGAATTTTTGCTTGATAGTGAAGTGAAATTGCTTCCTAGGTGCCTGCCCAGTGCAATAAGTAATATCTATTCCGACTATTAGATGCATACATCTGGGGTGGGGGGGGGGGTAAAATGTATGCAACAGTAAGACATTCTATAATGAAAAGGCTACTATTATTCAATAATTTTGTAGATTAATTATAGATGTAAATTTAATGCTGGGGGGGGGGGGGGGGGAGTGTTTAACTAATTAATGTACAAAATGCTGCACTTTTCAAAATCATTCAAAGTTTTCTAAATTAATTCATTCATTTTTTTTCTGGAAAAAAAAATCATTTTTACAAGAAAATAAATTTTTGGGGTATATTTTAAGGTTTTAAGGAAGAATTCCTTTAATTTTCCTTTATAAAAATTACATTGTGTGTGTGGTCGACGATATATATACATGTAAATAAAATGTGGCAAATTTACAAAATGTTTATTAGGTGAGGACTATTTAAGTTTCAGAACTTGTGTCTAATTCATTTTACTGTTTGTTGACAAAATATTTTCAATTGATGAAAAAAACAATTTCCTGCGGAAAAGTGATGCTATGTATAGTTTCTTTGTTGCCTTTTGTCAAAAAGTTGCATTAATTACTGTTGCATTAATATATATGCGTAATTTATCTTACCGATATATTCTTTCCACTTTGGATTAATTTCATGTTAGCCTCCTTTAGACAACCACTAACGATCAGCGCGTACGCGGGATCTGTAGGTTCACTGTTGAAATCTCCACAGAGAATTGTACCAACTCTTCCGGTATGTCGTTCTCTAAATTCTCGCAGAGCCACCAAACAGCATAGTGACTATAAACAAAACTCATTTTCAGATACCTGAGATAGATTTGCACTCTTGAAATTGAAACAAACTTAACATAAAACAGCTTAATCCATCGATTTCATGCATACCTGATTTTACAAAACTAATTTACTGATATAGGGTTCATACAAAGTTACATGGGATATATCTAGTTAAGTTATTTTCAGAACTGTATCTCCAATGGTCGGAAAAATCTACGCAGAAGACCAATTGTCCATCCCAATTTTTTCAGCAACAGGACTAACTGTGCAGCTATAATATCTTAAGTTTTATGAATGGATAAAATATTAAATCAATTAATTTCACCTGAATGAAACGCACGTCCATTAGATGTTCACTTTCCCATACAAGGTGCGTGTTGGCAACAACAACAGTATACGCTGTGGTCACGTGCTTAAGAAGGGTTACCAAGGCAACGTCACAGCGGTCCGTGTATCGTGAAAAATCAGAATCCGTTGTGTCATTTCTTTCATCAGTAAAAAAAGCTGTATTTGTAATATACATGAATATATTATCATTCCGAATTTAAAGTTGACCTTTATTCGTAGTCTACAGTTAAATACACAGTGACAAATCACATACCTTTTCAGCAATTTCCCCAAATTTATATGCAACGCTGTCTTGCAACGTAAATTTAAAAGATTTGAAAAAAGTAGCACACCCTTCGTCATTCTTCTCGAACGTTCTTTTATAATATACTCCCCCGTAGCCTAATCTACAATTGTAAAAAGTCATTTAAAATTTTATTTTTAAAGATAAACTGAAAATATACAGTCATGTATATATGTATCAGTGCATATTTAATCATTTTTTATTAAATGTGTTTTCATCCAAATCGAAAATCGGAAGGTTGTTATATTTGGTTTGTCTATTTATATCCTTGCAACTTCAACCTTGCCCATAGTTCTGGAATTGAACAATATGGATATTTTATACTTGGTCTAAAGGTAGCAATTGACCAGAGAGCGTGTCTAGATCCTGACCTAAGGTAAACTTGTCCGGCAAGGTCACAGGGATTGAGAATGTGGAAGTCTTGTCCGTCATATTGTAATTAGCAGCAATTTTAGTATTAGTAATTCTAAAAAGTAGAATTATGATCGGAGGGTGTGTTATGACCTTGATACAAGGTCAACTGGGCGAGAACAAGGTCACCGGGATAAGAACTGTAAGAAGTGTAGAATTCTTGTCCAGTCTTTTACTTTACAATGGAGAAATACTAGAACCTTATAATTGTCAGAAAATAGGCTAAGAAAAGAGGGCCTTTACGAACTCAGATCCCGGCTTATTTGGACAAGATCATGGTCACGATTTGAAATTCAGTAGAAGCATGGAGTTGATACGCTGCACAGTTCTGATCAAGAACAATCATGATCAATGGATGCAAGGAAGGTCAGTTGTGCCCCTGTTACATCTGAGAAGGCTCGGTGTGTTTGTGTTTTCAGAGGCACATTTTTTTTTATCTTGAACATTGAATAAAGTTTGTCATTACTCTACACAGAAGGAAAAAACACAACAAATAAAGTCCAAAACAATTTTCAACCTTTATATTTTAAATACCTTAAAATTTTGACTTAAAATGATAATATTGTTAATTAAAATTAACAAACTTCTGCATTTCAGGCTCCAGTGTATCTTTGTAATACCCAGGACCCACCTCCTGTAAACAAATGACGTCACAGTCGGAGAACTGAAGCTCTTCAAGTAGCCTTTTATGGCGGAAGTTGATATCTAGGTGGGTGGGGTCTCTGTATGGATATGTATATGGGTGTGTGTGACAATCCGCCAAAACATTGTAGCTCATTAAGGAGAACACATGATCTGGCGTGACATCATCGGTTTCCGTTTTAAGGACCTCCTTCCTATTTGCAAAGCTTGGTGGTGCATTCTTTCTATTCATATGATTGCTGTCAAAAAATATCTAAAATTTAAAGTTGGGTAACATTCCTTGTATATAATTATGCATATATAATCTTTTCTGAATCGTATTTTATAACGATGAAAACATTCATTACCATAAGCTGTATAACGTGCATGTGATTAGCGCCAAAACAGTGCACAGGAACTGACACTGGGATATAAGCAATCGCCCTTACGTTTTTTTTTCTTCACTTTTTTACAGACAAAAGACATGCATAAATTGCAAAACTCCCACTCCAAATAAAATAGCAGTAATTCACTTTTTTCGTGATATCGGTTTTATTACTTTCTTCCGCCAAAACGAAATATCCTTAGTTCACCTTTGTATGACCCGATCCATTTAATTTAAACATTACTACTATTAATATTATTCTCCAGCTACTAATAACAAAAAATTGGGCCCGCCCATGATTAATATTTATCTTTTGAAGAGAAAAATACTGACCTTAACAAGTTACACTGGCTACAAAATAATAAACACACTGCTTGCTATAAAACTGCAGACGAACATTGCCTTCCTTCATAAAATCGATCCTCCTCGGTTGAAGAACGAGGAAATATGCATAACATATAAACCGTAAAACGCTCCATCGAACATGTCGAACTGCTAGATACTTATTTTATAAGAAGTTAATATGCATATGGTTGAAAGATTTGGAATTAAACTGACACACTAACTCTCTGACCCCATCAAATAATCAAACAAATCTATCGTGTTTTAGTTGTACACGTCTGTAAACAGTAGCACGTTATGAATTAATTATTGATTAATCCCACAGTTGATTATGCTTCGTTGCTCTCATTTAGAGATAACTCTTCATGCGTCGTGGGTATTTAAATTTAGGGAATAATCGCGAGTTTCTGGAACACCCTCTTTCAATTTATAATATACAAATAGTAATAACGTTTTAAATTTGTTTCCAATAATAACAAGAGATTAATTAACATGCATTCTACAAGATTGATGTAATGTTAATGCATGTATTATAATTAATCAACGTCGTCGGAAATCTACGGTAGATTACCATCAATATTTTCATCATCACACATACACAGAGAGAGAGAGTTATCTCTAAATATAGATAATGCTACGTAGATGAATTTATTTATACGGCGGGTATGTCAAGCTTGTTATAACAAAACATTTCACATTTTACGCATAGGCGTCGGAACCGGGGGGGGGGGGGCTTAGCCCCCCACTTTTTTTTCGAAGATAAACAAAATATAGGCATTGAAAACTGAGGCTTACCTTTTCCGTTGGTTTACTTCCCCCCCCCCCCTTTCAATTAGCCACCCTACTTTCAATTTGCTTCCGACGCCTATGTTACGTTTATTTCATAGACTGGCTACCCGTTTTAAACTTTTTTTTTCCAAATCTAAACTGTCGCCATATTGCATGAGAAAAGTTAGAACAATAAAAAGCACAATTAATGGGAAGTGCACCTCGCACATCATTTTGAAAGATGTACTGGAGACAGCGTGCGTTAATATTTTTCAATATATAATAAAAATGTGTTCAATAATCACGCTGTTGATACAATATCCAAGAAATTCCATTGGGTCATTTCAATTTAGTTGTTTCAAGTCAAATCATAACAGAACAATAATGAACCGAAATGTGTATGAAAAAAATTAAATTATTTAAAATGATAGTACTTTATTTTTTAAGATATTGCCACTAAATAATAACATTAAATGTATGTCTTACTAGTTTCAAGAAAACAATTTAATTTTGCGTGCATTTAAAATATTACTTATTAACTCCGACAATAAAATATCATGTGATATTTTATGTCCACATTTTGCTTTTCGTATGGATAATGATTTTTATTCGATTTTTGTGATTTAAAAAAATATGCCTCTTTGAAACAAAAATCGGAAATGGCAGTTTTGAAGAAAACTCCTGTCTCTTTATGCGTAAATTAAATTCATTCTGTTTCAAGTAGGCAATTTTTCAGAACAATGGGGATTCCCTATCTGAAAAACAGAAAACTTTAATTATTTTGTTATGTGACTAATTTACACTTCATTTAATGACAAACTGGAAGTCGATATGCAGTTTCTAAATATTGTTCTACCTTGTGCTATTGTATATATACCGTTGTATCTGAAAATATTTAAGACCGTTTTCTGTTACTTAAATTTTTCCTTTTAAACTGCTACAACTTTAGGGAAAATAACAAAAGAACTGTAACACCCTCTTTGCAAAAGGTACTATCACAATTGTTGTAAATATCTTATATATATCCAACCTAAATAATTTGAAGTGAATGCAAGCTTTGTCAGTGAACAACGTGACTTGTGATGTAGATATATTATGCCTGTCTGTTTCTTCAGTTGACTATAACTTTTACTTATCTTAAAAATCATCATATAATTTGTGGAGGACGTCGCTATGCAAAAATGATACAATTTGTATCATTGGGTCTTTTCAATTGTTTTTTTCTTTGTTTAGCGTCCGTATGGATTGGTCTTTACATCGGCAAAATTATTGGGGGGGGGGGTACCCCCCCGGTTCCTACGGCCATGAGTATATACATGTATTTATTTTATATTATTGAGGAGTTGAAATGCATGATATATATATATATATATATATATATATATATATATATATATATATATATATATATATATATATATATATTTACATTTGCAAATGTTTTCTTTTATATAACACTATTGAAAGCAATGCGTATCTATATCCGTATAAACACGGGTTCCTCGCGTCATAAACGTTCGACGTAATTTTTCAGTGACGTCATAAAGGGTCGACGCGCAATCAGAGGATCAAACACGTGCCGTTGGGTTTGAAAAATAAAACGTTTCACGCGTTAAAGATTATAATCAGGCAAATAAAAAATATGAATAAGTCACAAATGTAAATATAAGTAATAAGGTATCATTTTTAAACATCTATCGGGCTATAAATACGGGTTGGTACGAGATCAAATTTACCATAAAGCCCTTCGGGCTTTATGGAATTTGATCTCGTGACCAACCCGTATTTATAGCCCGATAGATGTTTAAAAATGATACCTTATTTCTTAAATATATATATATATATATATATATATATATATATATATATATATATATATATATATATATATATATATATATATATATATATATATATATATATTTACATTTGCAAATGTTTTTCCTTATATAACACTATTGAAAGCAACGCGTATCTATATCCGTATAAACACAGGTTCCTCGCGTCATAAACGTTCGACGTAATTTCTCAGTGACGTCATAAAGGGTAGACGCGCAAACAATGGATCAAATACGTGCCGTTGAGTTTGAAAAATAAACATTTCACGCGTTAACCCTTTCGACGCCGAATATAGTTACGTCTATAACGTCATGGATGCCGTACTATGACGTCAACTGAGACGTAAAATAATTTGCTTCAGAAAAAAGCGTCAAATTGATAATGAAACAAGCACCTGTTTAAGCAATGTAATAGGATGTTTATAGTTTTCAAGGAAAATTCGTATAATAAAGTCATATTCATTCCAGTAGTTTTTAATCGCCAAAAAGTAAATTTAGCCAATATTTATCCTGTAACTAGCATATGCAAGGAAAGTCTTTAAATATAACAAAAGAGAGTTTAATCTTAAGCTTTTTCAAAAAATAAATTAAATGTTATAAATATATGACTGCCGTCACGAGTAAAGGTCCTTAAATAGCCTGGCCCTTTCTGAATGCAAATACATGTATAAATAACTTTTTTAAAATATCTGATTTTTTTTCAGTATTTTATAAACATTTTAGTAAGGCACTTCAAAATTACGTTGACGTTACTGACTAAAAACCTAATTATGTCGCGTGCGTCAAATTCAGTTTCTAAACATTCTTAGAATTATTTAAGTAATTTTAATCGTTTTAACACATACAAACTTGAGAAAATATTTTATTTTTTCTTCTAAGCTACTAGTATGTCCTAAGAAAAAGACGCCTTAGTTCATACTTCTAGAGGCAGATGCAGTTATTTCGTAAGGAAGGAGGGGGGAGTCTAGAAATTTAGGATCTGGAATAGGTTTATTTTCAGTCGAAAAAAAAATAATAGAATTCAACAAAAGGTTTTTTTTATATTTAATACTCTAGCTCAATTAATAAAGTATATAAAGCACCCCCCCTTCCTCCCACACACTCCAAAAAAAAAAAAAAAGAATACACGGATGGCCCTTAGAGAAATAAGAAATCCAACCCAAACAAGGGCACCGCGCATAAAGCGGGCCATCCCCTCGCAAAAAAGCAAATTGATTCCGATATAAAAAAAATAATTTAAGTTATAAGCATGCATCCCCCCACCCACCACAAGCGTGTTTCTTTTTCCCCTCTAGCTTTGTTAAGAGAAGATAACAACACCCAAGTATCTCTGTATCACCGATGGATTCTGACGGAAAAAAAATAATTCAGATGAATTTTTGATGCATGATTTTTTTTCTTAAAGTTTATTCTGTTCATAAAAAGTCATTAAAAAAATAAATCTTTTTCTACTTCCAAGCGGATATTTTTTTTTAAATACGTTGATAAAATATTTTAAATATGTTTCCATTGTTCATACAATTCAACTTCTTCGCCTGTCCTAGATATGGAATAATAACGTAAAAAAGAGGCGCATATTGATGTCAAGACATTGTTTTGTGAAAGGTTATTCCATTCATGAAAATTGAAACTTTTAGTCAATTTCTTAGCTTTTTCCAAGTAAATCAAACTCTATCAAAAGTGGTCTTCTTTTTCTTTTACCTGTGCTCTCGACGCTTATCACTTGGACACCACAATCGTACATCATTTCTTAAAAGGGCCGAAACTGAAATCTCAAAAAGGAAACATGCAAATTGGTTTCTGTAAAATAGATTTCCTAGACCGCGGAACAGTTTCTGGAAAGATTGGAAATATATATCTTACGCCATTTCCATCTTATTTGATGATCGATAATGATACAATTCGACACGGACGTCTGAGAAAACAGTGGATTGAAATTCAAGTTTGAGGTTGGTTTTCAATCCACTCAAGCTGATTTCATAGACAAAGTATTAATGTATGCTTCAAAAGTCAAATAGGTTCAATTCCCGAATAGTTTGAAAATTATGTAGATAAGAATTTTCAATCCAATTTCAAACGTATAGATGTATTCTTTCATCGGGCGGCCATATAATTATAAGGGGGGGGGGGGTTAAATTTATTTATGTCCATGCCTTCAGAATACATCGTTTATTTATTTCAAGGATGTCAAGAGATTTTATCTTATTTCAGTCTTCTTCACAGAGAAACGGTTGACAAGCAAAAACGGGAAAAGGGGGAGGGGGCTTTCCAAGCTCAAAAACTTTTTGCTTATTTTTAAGGACTAGCCCCCCTCCCCCCTTTCGAAATCAAATGGTCATCCTCTTATTATTTCTTAAATCAATTTCGAAATAGTTTGAAATTTATATAAATCAGAGTTTTCTGTCCAATGTTTTTTTTTTTGTTTTTTTTTTTTTTGTTTTTTGTTTTTTTTTTTTTTTTTATATGA